GTTGTAAGCTTGGACACGTTTTTTCGAACATCGTGCTGGTCAGTAATCACTGCAGTGCTTCAGGAATGCAACTGAATTGTCGAAAGGGTGAAGAAGAAACAACCGAGAATGGCATGCGGAGTGTAAAGAACGAGGACCAAAGTTCGGATTCTGGTGAATTATGCAACAGCATCCTTGAGAATTGTCGTCGAGCTGAAAGCGCTGAACGAGAAATGAAAGAGGTTAGTATGAAGTGCTATCTTTGCGAAGGCTCAGAGCATGAAGTGTGCCGGTCAGGGCACGTCCACGAGAAAATTTTCGGGAAATACGACCATTCCCAACTTGGTCCTCTTCTACGACCTCCCTTCTCCATCTCCAAGCTGTCACATTATTAGGAATTTCCCGAGGCTTTTCCAGTCTCTAGAATTTTACCGTCGAGCGGCAATTGGTGGTGAGAGATCCTCACTAACGAAATACTACTCCCAACTGTCGAATATAATAGTTGTATATTAGTTTTGGAATGTCACAAACTACGAGCTGGGTATATAGCAGCAGTGATTTCTCAGGCCAAATACGACGACGACCCCCTCGTCCGGCGACCAACTGCTCCCCGCTGGGGTTGCCTTGTAGGACGTGTCCTGATGCCACTCGTTCCCACAGCTGGCCTTGACCGAGACGAGTCGCCCGAGACATCCCGAAGGGCTTGCGATTGGAGCTGCATATTAGAGTCAGCTAAGGATCAAGTCCATTTCTTAATATGAATGTCTATTGAAAACATGCCATAGTTTGTTACTCGGGTACTACAGCCAGGACGAATGTTTCGTGCCAGTGGTCGTGCATGCAGTGCACGGCGGTACCATCACTTCGAATTCTCTTTGTCGCAGACATTTGTTGTGGTTTCAGGCAACGAGTGGTAATGTAGCCAGATTCGCCAAAAGAGAATTGGACTACATAGCCGAGATGTACTGTGCAAACTATGACATCTTCCATAAGAGCTCGCTAGGTGGAGGGAGGGCGAAGGAAGCCATAGCGGTGAGTTATTTATTATCAAATTAAATGCTATGGCTAAAAAGGCTGAAGAAAGGAAAGTACGGTCTTGTTCGCTGCGGATGCTGCGGCGTGCCAGAGGGAGGGCTGGGTTTGGGGCACCGCCAGCTCGTTCTTCACCAGTGATTGTCGATAG